TTTTTTAATTTTCCACTCGATGTCAAGTACTCACATTGGAGCCCGATTAGATTTGTATTTACGCCAAAAGGTCCCACATTGAGGATAAATTGCTTCCTAACAAAGGCAACTCCATATCTAGGAGAATTCGAACTCAAACCCGGACCTCCTTGTTGACCAGTCCATCACAACTCAGATTGGTCATAGTGAAATATACCTATGCATTACTAATGTATGCAAGTGCCACAATAAAATGGTTACATAGTTGTATGTAGGGGTGTACATGGCCGGGTTGGTTCGGATTTTTCAAATATCAAACCAAACCATTTGTGTCGGATTTTTAAATTTATACACCAAACCAAATCAATAAAACACGGGTTTTTCAACTTTGGATTTTTTCCGAAAAAGTATTCATACAAACATATAATTTACTTGTACTTCAAATATTTCTTTAGTCCTACCAAAATACAACTATCTAAGATGTTTCTTAAAAATATAACACAATATGATATGATTAATGACACTAAAATATCCAACCAAAAAATAATAATAATGAAATCGCGTAAAACAAATATTGCAAATTAACAAGTCATAATTATTGTCATTCTTAGTGTTAAATTGATTTTCTTTTTGCATTAGTATTAATTTGATTTTGATTTAAGCTTTATTATAATTAGTTAATTACCAACATCTGTGGACTATAATCTTTATTGAACCATTTAGAATTCTAAGTTTCAAACTTGAAATAATAATATATTAAAAGATAAAAACTATGAAAAAGTATAAGACATATTTAAAAATTATATCAAAGTAAATATTTTTTATGTATAAAATAAAATTTTAAAATTATATATATAATGTCGGGTTGATTTTTTTTTAGTTAAAACCAAACCAACCCAAATATAGTCGGGTTTTTTTTTCCAATACCAAATCAAGTCAAACCAACCACTAGTCGGGTTTTTTTTCTCCGTTTGACTAGATTTGCGGTTTGATTCGATTTTCGGTTCGATTTTTGTACACCCCTAGTTGTATGTATTTAAAGCAAATGATGATGAGTTTAATTTCCCTTTATATTTTATAGGCATAGGTAATACTCCCCCGCCTTATTTTATATGTCACATTTTTATTTTGTACTTGCATTAACAAATGATATAATTTTATCCTTCTACCTTTATTTAATATTTTCTTAAGTCAACTTTATTAATAAATGACAAAATTAATTAACTATTCTATCAAGGATATAATAGGTAAAATATGATAACTTATACATAAATTTTATAAAAAAACGAATATTGTAATTCAATTATTTATAGAAAGACATGACATATAAAATGGGACTAGGGAGCAGTAGTTGCGCTGCAATTTCTACCCATTTCTCAGATCTCTCCATTTCTCTGACATAAGCACAAAACAGATTCATTGCCTTTCTTCCCTCTTGTATTCTTCCTCTCTCTCTCTCTCTCTCTCTCTCTCTCTCTCTCTCTCTCTCTCTCTCTCTCTCTCTCTCTCTCTCTCTCTCTCTCTCTCTCTCTCTCTCTCTCTCTCTCTCTCTCTCTCTCTCTCTCTCTCTCTCTCTCTCTCTCTCTCTCTCTCTCTCTCTCTCTCTCTCTCTCTCTCTCTCTCTCTCTCTCTCTCTCTCTCTCTCTCTCTCTCTCTCTCTCTCTCTCTCTCTCTCTCTCTCTCTCTCTCTCTCTCTCTTATCTCATATCAGCAAAAAGCCACACAAAACCTGCGTTTGCACCAAACAAATGCAATTTTGTTACCTCTTCTGTTCATCACTCTTCTTGCATACGTGCTGTCTTCCTGTGTAGACTGTCTTCCTCTCTGGTTGTTTCATTCAAATGAAATTTTTCAGAGCTTTGACTTGAATGAATTCTTATTGCTTCTTCTGCTCTTGTGGGTCCTTGTTCACTTTCACGTTTTTTGATTCTTGGACCATAATTTCATACCCCATGTGAATGTGATAGACAATGTCATTTATGAGTTCCCTGCCTTCTTTCTTATCATAATTCTCATTCAACTTTTCCCCTTTTGAATCTGAGGTTTTGGTGGATATTTTCCAGATTGTTCTTGTTCCAAATTGGGTAATGGAGTCTTGGATTTCCCTTTATTTAGTAATGATCTTCCTATTTCTGCCTGAGACTTGTATAGCTAGTGTTCAGAATAAAGGCAGACTGAATCTGGGGTTTCAAGGCTCTCAAATGACTTGGATAGACAACGATGGATTAATTCTTGTTTCCAATAGCTCCAAATTTGCATTTGGATTTAACCCTACTAATGATGTTACCTTGTTCCTTCTTGTTGTCATCCATGTAAGTAGCTCTACCATCGTTTGGTCAGCTAACAGAGATTCCCCTGTTCGAAATAATGATAATTTTGTTTTTGATGATACTGGAAATGCCAATTTGCAAAGTGGGAAATCAACAATTTGGTCTACGAATACGGCTGATAAAGGAGTTTCCGCCATGGAATTGAAGGATTCGGGGAATCTAATTTTGGTTGGGAAAGATGGTAGCGTTATTTGGGAAAGCTTCACACATCCTGTTGATACTCTTCTGTCAGGCCAGAATTTCACTCAAGGAATGAAGCTTGTAAGCACTCCTAACAACAATAATTTGAGTTATTCACTTGAATTTAAGTCTGGGGATATGGTTCTTTCTGCAAGTTTTCAGCCTCCACAGCCTTATTGGGCTATGGGGAAAGATGATAGAAGGACTATCAATCAAGTTGGAGGAGGTGTCACTTCAGCAATTCTTGATGGAAATGCTTGGAAAATTTATGGTGAGAAGAGAGTGTTGCTCTGGCAGTTCATTTTCCCTGATGATAAATATCCAAATGCGACTCGGTTGGCTGTTCTTGGAGAAGATGGTTCCATTACTTTTAGCATTCTTCAAGATGAATCGAAGCTTGACTCGGGGACAAGAATTCCACAAGATGAATGCAGCAGACCAGACTCTTGTGATCCATATTTCATTTGTTATAGTGGCAACAAGTGTCAGTGCCCATCAGCCCTTCCATCTTGCAAACCTGAGACTGCTTCGTTTTGCAATAAAGATGTGGAGCTTGTAGATGCTGGGGATAGTCTTGGTTATTTTGCACTTGGTTTTGTTTCTCCATCTGCTAAAACTGATTTAAATGGTTGCAAAGCTTCTTGCGTTGGCAATTGCTCATGTGCTGCTATGTTCTTTGATAGCACTTCAGGGAATTGTTTTATGTTTGATCAAATAGGAAGTTTACAAGGTTCGGTTAATGGAGCTGGTTTCAAGTCATACATTAAAGTATCAGCTAGCCAGGGGAATGGGGATAGCGGTGGTGGAGGTGGAGGTGGGAAGGGACGATTACCTATTGTCTTTGGTATCGTCATTTCTTCGGCTATTGTCATTCTTGGCCTAATTTATGGAGGTATTAGATATCAGAGGAGAAAGAACAACAAGATGCCTGATTCTGCAAAGGGGAGTTCAGAAGAAGACAATTTCTTGGAGGGCCTATCAGGGATGCCGATTCGTTTTAGTTACAAAGAACTTCAGAATGCAACTAATAACTTCTCAATAAAACTTGGGCAAGGAGGGTTTGGTTCAGTTTACCAAGGGGTCCTCCCAGATGGGACTAGACTTGCTGTGAAGAAATTGGAAGGCATTGGCCAGGGAAAGAAAGAATTTCGAGCAGAAGTTAGTATTATAGGCAGCATCCATCATCTTCATTTGGTGAGACTGAGAGGTTTTTGTGCTGAAGGAACACACAGGCTTCTGGCTTATGAGTACATGGGAAATGGATCTTTAGAGAAATGGCTTTTCAAGAAGAACAAGGAATTCTTGCTAGACTGGGATACACGATTTAATATTGCACTTGGCACAGCAAAAGGCCTAGCTTACCTCCACGAGGACTGTGATGTAAAAATTGTGCATTGCGATATCAAACCTGAAAATGTACTTCTTGATGATCATTTCCTCGCCAAGGTCTCAGATTTTGGCCTCGCTAAGCTGATGACCAGAGAGCAGAGCCATGTTTTCACAACCATGAGGGGTACAAGAGGATATCTCGCACCAGAATGGATCACAAATTATGCCATATCAGAGAAAAGTGACGTTTTTAGTTATGGAATGGTTTTGCTTGAGATAATTGGAGGTAGGAAGAATTATGATCCTTCACAAAGTTCAGAGAAATCCCATTTTCCCTCATACGCCTTTAGGATGATGGAAGAGGGGAAATTGGAAGACCTTATCGATAGGAACTTGAAAGTTGAAGAAGAGGATGAAAGGGTCTCCATAGCAATTAAAGTTGCTCTGTGGTGTATACAGGATGACATGTCTCTCAGGCCATCCATGGCTAAGGTTGTGCAAATGCTGGAAGGGATCTCCCATGTCCCTTCACCGCCAACTGCTTCTCAAATGGGGTCACGACTTTTTTCAAGTTATTTGAAATCACTAAGTGGCGAGGGTACTTCATCCGGCACCTCTGCACCATCAGACTGCAACAGCGATGCTTATCTTTCGGCTGTTCGGCTCTCAGGTCCAAGATAGCATTTGCAAGAAGCATAAACATAGTCGTTCATGTAAGGGCTGTTGTAGATGATTGACAAACATGTGCAATGGTTTCATACCTTTTAGTTTTTCTGTATATTAAAATTATCTAGGAAATTTTTTTGCCATATTAGCCATGACAAAGGTTGGAGTTGATTGAGAATGTTTTATTTGTATATATATCAATGCTATAAATGAGTTGAAAATAAACAAAGAAAATGCATTTGGTAACACTCATCCTGGATTTCAAGTACAGCATGTGTGATGGTAGAATTAGCTGCATTATCTTGTTGCAGTTTCATGGATATACTAATATAGAACAGAAAATCGGACACTTATTGTTCCTTTTGCATAGTTTCATTATACATATATATAAGTTTTATTTCAAAAACCTTACAATTACATGCCAAAATTCACTATCAAAATTAAAATGTTTGATTCTCGTAATCCAAATGGTGTTACATAAATTGGAATAGTGGGAATACTAATGTATCTGCGGTTTTATCAGAACTAGTAGGAAGTAACTCAACTAGCTTCTCATCCTTTCAACTTTCTGAATAGAATACTTGAGTTCTTTCTGAATGTTGAGCCTCGAAGGCGACAAGACAATATCTTTCCAAACAGAGCCTGCTTGAAATGCTGGGTGAGGATTCTTGTAAAGTTCATAGATGGAGTTTGCTCCATCATTCAACCTTCCAACCATTTGCAGTACATTTATCTCATCTGGATCAACTAATAATGTCCTTTCTTTCTCCTTCCACCCTATCATCTGTTCCAATAAACCACATCAAAATTTACAATTTATACGAGTTAGCAACTACTATCAATTTATGTGACACAATTTGACTCGGCAAGACGTTTGTTGTAGTGATATATAGCATTTAATTTGTTGCGCTATAAGACTTTTGAAATTACTCGTGGTCTTAAACATGCCATAATATTTAGGTAGCTATAAAATCTTCTCCTTTAAGGATAAAATGAGAAGCTTATAGTTCAGATGTTTTCAAATATACATGTCATTCTTTTTGAAACACACTAATAAGGAAATAGTGTCACGAATGAAGGGAGTGTTGAAGTGTGTGACCATCTCATCTAAAATCTTAACACGCCCCCTCATTTTTTTCATGAGTCAAGCATGTGAAAATTCTTTTTTTATATGGATGGCGGTGAGGTTCGATTTCAGGACCAAGTACATGGAAATTCTATTTGATATGGGTGGTAGTGAGATTCGATCTTAAAGACATTTGCTTGCTCTGATACCATGTTGAAGTGTGCGACTATCTCATCTAAAAGTTTAAGCTATTAGAGAAAACACAATTTTATTACTTAATAATATTCTTAACAGGGAGTATCCCATTTAGTATTATATTAACAAGCCATATGGTAGGAAAATTATAAGAATGTTGAGACAAATGAAAGAAATAAAAAAGCAGAAAATATTTTGTAGGAAGTTGTTTGGTTGTATTGTACCTTAGGAGGGCCCTCCAATGCATTAGTAGAGTACAATCTTGCACTGTCTACTATGTGACAGTATGTATGGAATGCACTTGCAAATCTCTTGTGTGATTTCAGTTGTGAATTCACCCTTACTGCTCTTCTACACATGATAGCTCTCCTGTGAAAAACAAGTAGAAATTAATTACACCATATATACCAGAACCTAAGTTGTGCGGACTCTTCACTTTCGATGCCGCACCTGTATCGGATTCTCCAAAAATACACTACTTTTGAAGAATCCGACACGCACCCGTTTACATTTTCGCAGAGTTCAAGCAACATAGACTAGAACTGGAAAGAATTAAATGTGTTACCTTATTCCTCTAATGACAGCTAAATAAGCATCACAAACAACTCCAACCAATTCTATTCTATAAGGTCTCCTCTTTCTATTTCCATCAGTGGCCTCTTGTTCTTCATTCAACTGTTCCCAATAGCTCTCAGTTACAGATCCATCATCCTCCACTTTGTATCCAACACCCATACGGTAACGTCTTCGGTGTACATTTCTTGCCATGGTTATAGTTTGCACCACAAAGGGTATCCATGACAGTGTACCATCCATTATGACATCCCTTCCTTCATTAAGTGCTGTTACAAGAAGCGATGATGCTGCATCAGTTGACGACTGATGTACCAATTCAGCTGTTTGAAGCATGTCATTGTGATGTCCCCTGGAACTAAGGGCTTTGTAAATCACATCTGATTCTTTGAAAGCGTCTGCTTCTATTACGACTGCATTAGCTGCTGCTCCTGCCCAAAATGGTCTACAAAGAGAGATCATTAGTTAACGAGCAATTAGTCGAGTACATCTATAATGAATTATACTTACTCCTTGAGAATATCCTTGAGCACAGTGCTTTTACCAGCTCCCATACCACCACCCATAAAGAGTAGGACTGGACTTCTATCTTTGTGAGCCATTGGAACCATCACATCAGTGCACTCTGAATCATCTGCTGAAACTAGCCCTATTGCTTTCATCTCCTCAACTAACGTCGTAAATACTCTTGCAACCTTCAGATTCTTTGTCACCCTTTCAAATCTTTGTTCCCTTCACATCATTTTAATCCTCTTTTAAATTAGTAAATATAATATAATATAATCCTAATATACTACAACCAAAAACAACTTTTAGCAACAATAAGTATGCACATTAACAAGGATTGCAAAAAGTCTTTACCAGCATTAGTTAATTGCCATTAGATTCAATGTCACTATAGCCTATAGCAACATTTACAAAGAGTTTTAAAATGTAATAGTCACTAGTAATTTCCTTAAAAAAACATATTTAGTGACAATTAAGCTATTGTCATTAATTAATAATTGCGTGCTACAATTCATTTTTGGTGTAGTGATAATTGGAGATATATAATTGTGGTAGTACCTTGTAGCAGCCATGACAATGTTTTTGAGCTTCTTTTTTGGCTCTGCATGATCAGCACTCAAAATCTGAAAGATGATGCAACAAGAGAGGACTTGAGATATATATATATATATATATATTATATGATGAAATTAAAGATGGATGTTAAACAGACCTGACTGATCATATGAGAAGCATGGGTCCAATGAAATGCAAAGTAACTAAGGATACATCTCTCAAATTCTTCAACTAACTTAATGAATAGAGAATCAGCATCTGGTTCATTAGAAAAGAAATTGTATATATCTTCTTCACATCCTTCTGATTTCCTTATGTACTCAGCTGATAATTTGCACAAATGTGGACATTCCCTCTTGTCACTAAATCCCATTTGTCTAGCTGCATAAATATCCGTAATGATCATATAGGTATATTGTATAGCAACAACAACGACAACACATACAGATAAAAGAAGATGAAAATTACCTACATAATGAGAAAAACTCTCAAACCTAAGGATCTGACCAGTATTAGTAACTTTAGTACGAGGAACAATTTTTTGATCACGGATTTTCTTGAGACGATAATGCACAGCAGCAGCAAGAATTAATCCAATTGAAGATGCTACAAGAATCTGTGTATAGGATGCTTTTGAAGAACCCATTGCATTTCCCATGCAAATTATAATTATATACAATTACCTTCCTGTTTTGTTTGTTTTTTCCATTTCTTCAGTAAAAAAAATGATTAATTGAGATTGATCTAGATTAAGGGATTAATCTTCCATGGGAATGAATTAAGGCTATAGCTTAAGCTGCTGCATGTTAATCGTTTGTTTGTTTCAATGTTAACAACACGTGTTAACATTATATTCTTTCTTTTAAATAAAAAATCCATTTATTTATTTATTTTTGCAGAATAATCGATCTCTCTCTACCCAAAAATATTAAGAAAATATACTCCAATATTTTACGAGTTAAAACAAATTCAAGGTAATATAATGCTAATTGGGGAACATTCTTCACAGTTTATCATGCATATTTGGCATTCCGTCAAGTTGAGAAATTAACTCCAACAAACGGAAACTAACAATGTTTACTTGTGCGTGGTTCGAATTTAGTTGGAGCTTAAGTAGCAAACCAAAAAAAATGTCATACTTGTACAATTGATTTGTTGGTATGGAATTACAAATCACAATACACCCGGCCCACACAGCAAAATCATTTCATAATTACTGGAGTAGCGGGGCATTCAGGTTCTTCGCCTTTGCCAGTCTGAATCAAAATAGATAAAGGAGGAAAAAAAGAAGAAGCCAAATTTACATATCAATAAGATCCCCAGATTCTAAAAATCACAAATTCATATATTAGGGTGATCACTTTTCTCTGATGATGAATCAATCCTGTCCCAAGAAAGCTAAGAATCAGAACAAATGTCAAAACATGAGACTAGTTAAGTGATAAGAACACCTAAATGAAGCTGCAGTAAAGTTTTATATGCATTTCCCTTCCTTTTTCCTATTATACATTTATTTAGATCAGAGTGTAACAACATTACATTTCTTATGCTCCTGTAGGGGTAAGGTAGGCACTGGATTGTGCAAACTGTTGTATATCAATGAGTAGGATCAACTTGTTGGAACGTTGATGGTAGATAGAGCTAAGCTTTTCTATAAAACATTCGACTTCAAATCTTTTACTTCTAGCCGTATTCTGTTCATTTTCTCAACTTCGGCTGCAAATTTTCCAATAGACTGCCTGTTTAACCAGAAAGTAACATTTGAGTGCATTTGTTGCAGGGTCATCAAATTTTGTATATACCAAAAGAAGTTAACAGCTATGACAAGGTATTACTGATTAATTTCAAGGACTACAATGCTTTCTTCCAAGTTGCACCAGTGTCAACAAGTTTGGTATAGGCATTCTTGAAATCATCAAAAAATAAACTCTGGTCCTCAGCGTACTTTGATATCCATCTGTTCAAGAAAGAATTCATTACTAGACAAAAGGTCAATCCTGAGAGCGACGGCTCTTTAACTTGTGAACTGAAACTAGATTAGTGAATTGAAAATTCTGCCTTTCCACTAGCGGAGGTGTATGTTTACTTCATTAACTTTTGTCAGGATAAAATTGGAGAAGTTATTGTCCCAAATCATAATAAAGGAATCTAAATAGCATTAAGGTCAAAGAAAACCATACCCTACACATTCATCGTCTTCAACAAGTGCCCTATCAGAGGGAAGTCCAACCATACTAGTCATGCCGCCTGTACAGATGAAAGAGAAATAAAATACTACAATATGAATAAATTTCTAAAAACAGGGGTCTTCTATTATAAAAAAGAGTGTCATCATTCCAGATAAATACTGAAGCATAAACAATTTGCAGCTCAGATTATCCTGAGCCTAGTCTTGCTGGACAGTTTTCTGCAACAATCATCTAAACTCTAGGCAAGTAGGTACACAGATTTCCATTTCAGAAAGATAAGAACATCATTGCTTCATAGGTTCTGATGATTCGGTGTGCTTGCTATTTGTTTCAATGAATTAAATATATATACACAACCATTTAATATCATATGAATGCCATTTGTCACCTGAGGACAACCATGGCTTCTCCATGAGTATCTTGAAGTATTCATTATCAAAGACGGTTGGATTCCCAAACCCTTTACTTCCCAGAGTATGCGCGCCAGACAAGGCAACAAGTTCCTGAGTTCTGCCAACAAAATGAACAATCCATGGAGATTAGGCAGGATATTTTAACATCGATAATCAACAGATCTAGCTTTTCTTTCCAAGAATAGGTGAGCAAGAGGTTGTACTGCATAATTTTAGAGTTAGAGCCTGGACTGCTCAGACCTCTGACAACTGACCATGATTATCAAAAACCAAATATTTCAATAGTTGCTCTCTGAAAATACCAAGCTGAGAAGTGGCTTTTTAGGTTTTCAAACTGTCAGTCGATGAATTCTCAAACCCAAAGTACCGGACTGATGCAGCTAATAGAGGAGGCAAAAAATCATATGAGTTATGGAATTTTGTTCAGCTAAGCTGAAATTCCATAACCTCGAGGCAGGGGAAAGATTATGGAGCAATTAAATCTGCTCTTTTGGCCATGATCATGAATTCACTCACAAAATATCATACGACTGACACTATAGTGGCATATTGAATATAGATTGCCTCAAAAAGAAAAAGATATATGGGGAAAGACCAGCTATTGAAAATTTTGAATACATTTAAGATAAACCCATTTTGAAGGATACCGATCAAATAATAAATCTCCTTTTCTTCCTCTAAAACCATCATTTCAGATGAGTTTCTTAATATTGCCTAGAATAACACCAACAGGTCTAAGGTTCAAAATGGTTACTCCTAAAGACTGGCTGTGCAATATGCTCCTTATGCATGATTTAGAAAAATTGTGTATGTCATGGAGGTTAACAATTCACCATAACCTATATGCTATATTCGTATTGGTACAGGAAAATGTGAATTAGTGTATACAGTTGTTTCATCAAATGTTAGCACAGCGTACATTAAATTGAATTGTCTAACAAAGCCACGTTCTTGATATACATGTTGTATAAGTATTATTTGTATGCATTGTGCAAATGGGAGGGGCTAAACTATGAGAGTCTCATACTCATGCATTAGAAACTCAGAAGGATAAGGAAACAATCATAAAAAAAATCCAAAATCAGCTCTCGGAAAGTGTAAGAATATGTTAGAATTGTATAAGATTATAACACCGGAGAAAGAGAAACAAGACGCATATGAAATGGAAGAAATACAGAAGTACTTCACATGCTTCACGAAATAGAGCAGAACTAATGGTCGTTCACTTCCACAGAAAACAAGAGAACAGAACTAAGTTTACTCCATGTGAATTACCAAAGCTTATTTATCCACACAAGCTACAGTGACAAAATATGTTATTTATCACCATGTTTGTCTATACTGCATTCAATATTACTTAAAAGGATTACTGATGCTACAAAGCCAGTTCATCGGCAAAGTGCTTAACCTGAAAGCAACAGTTTTATGTATATCCCACAGGGAGTGGATCTATGTAGAAGGGTGGGGGTGCCACGACACCCTAACATCTCGGTTAAAACTCTGTATATATGTGTGAGAAAATGTATATAAATACTAATCTTGGCACCCGGAGTAACAATAGGGCACATGTTGCCAGTGTTGGAGAGTCAGGTTTTTCTACCCATGAGATGCGAGTTAGAACCCAGCCTGGTGCACTTTTTAAAACTACTTTTAGTGTGCTGCATCGAGGACTACACATATTCTAATCAAAAAGCACACAAATCTGACAAATAGTGCTTCCTGGAATGTTGGTTAGAAGATTATAGGGGTGCAACGGTTCGAAGCCCAGCTTGATCAGTTTTTTTGACAAATATAGTGAGCCTATATTGTTAAAAAAATTGGTACAGTCGAGAAATACAGCCCTTGATCACTAATAAAACTCAAACAGACCAATGAGCCAAGGCTCTTCTATGTTTACATAATTGATGATAAATTATACTTGTTGCTTTTTAAACATCGATAAAGCTTAACGCTGCATAGGCACCCAAAACTTCCAAATCCAGGATCTGCCTCTGCTTACCCAACATCAGTGGAAATTAATACAGAATGTTGCAAGTGAAGAACACCCTAGAAATGCCAAGAAAGATGCAAAAGTTTTTATGAATTGCAAGACTCATTACTTTATCTGAAGAAGCTATTGAAGGGGGAAACCCTTAAACGTCTTTTGTTATCCACTAAAGCAAGGCAGAAGAAATATGAAAAGTACAAACAAGATTATCTATTTGTTTGCTAACAGCAACTGGCAAAAATAAACCTAGTCAAATTACATGAATGGCATCACAACAATATGAGAATGCTAATTGAATGGTATAACATGGAGTATAAAGAGAGCAGAAGATGAAATAAAAATAACAAGTAGATTTTAGTATGGTCATTAGACTCACGAGAAGCCTTTCCTTTCAAAACATTGCTTCAAGCTAGTGGCATCTAGTGATTCTTCAGGAAGTTTTCCTTCAGGATCCGGCACCCTACAAAGTCAAAATCAACTATGAGAATGTAGATAAGGCATAAAAATTACGACAATCAATTGAAATATGGTTTCTTCATGCATTAGGGGTTTCCTCATGGTAAGTTTCTGGCAACTGGTGCTTAATGGAAAAACCACATCAATTTGAATGAGAAGGAACTATCCACAAAGGGCTTAAATTAAGATTGTAAGTTACTTGTCAATTGCTAAATTTAAGAGATTCAGATGAGCCTAATTATTAAATCTTTGCATCCCCATTTCTACACAGCATAAATAAAAAGATAGATGCAATCAAATTTCTCTCCACATTTACAGGACCTACATCTTATATTAGCAAAACATAACTATTATCATAAACTAAAAGATAAGCCCTCACATTGAATCAATTCTTCCCAACTGAATGGGGATACTAGGTCCACCACATAATGAAACAGCTTCAGCTCCAGCCAAAGCTATTATATCAGCCCATGAGACTGAGAACAAAGCCAACGATTAAAAATTTTATGCTGGAACAAAAATGATAGGTGAACTAACAGCAGTTTATTGACTGAGACAGTTTACCTGATTGCACAAGATCAATTTGACTCTTTGCTTTGTC